TTTACTACGGAACCTCCCACGGATTCTGTACCCTTATTTTAAGCTGTTTAGATTTAAGTTCTTGATATTTCGAGCATTCCAAGTGGTTAGTTTTGAATGGTCTTGACTGGTATTTTGATTGAGCCAGTCGGCTCATCTCCAGGTTTCATGATAAGGTGATAATTAACAAAGTTTTAGAATTATTTACAGGTTAATGATCCAAGCCTGCAGGAATTTAAATCAGACTTTCACGTGCGCTTATTTTAGAATTTTTAAAGTAATAAGATCGTGTGAAGAAATATGTTACTGTGGAGATTCGCACGGAGACAAATTTATGCTGTTCGAGTTTTGTGTATTTGCAACGTGATTTATAAGACGAGTTTTCCCTTTGAAAGATAAGGAGGTTATCCCTTTGAAAGAGAAGGACGTAAGAATGTTTTGCAATATTGTTGTAGCATATGATTTATAAGACGAGTTTTCCCTTTGAAAGATAAGGAGGTTATCCCTTTGAAAGAGAAGGACGTAAGAATGTTTTGCAATATTGTTTTAGTAGCAACGAGATTTACGAAGACAATCATAACACTTTTAAGAACGAGATCAGAGAAATTGATTTGAATTTTGCACGGAATTCAGAGACATTGATAATGATATTGTTACGATTCAGACACGTGAATGACGTCATGAATGCGATAAGGAATTATTTATAAGGTCGTATTTTTATCCAATAAGTGGCTTCGGGCTCTTGACTTTTAGGCTTCAGACCCTTAGGTCTTAGGGCTTGGTTATAGGTTCTTGTCTTTTGAGCTCTGGGTTCTTGTTTCTTGGGCCTTGACTCTTAAGTCCCAATGTTTGACGTTTTTAAGTTTGTAAGTTCCAGTACTGAGGGTACAGAATCCTATACTGTGACTCATTTTGTGACAAGTAGTATTTATACTTTACTCCACTTCGCTTTACATTAGTTTACGAACTTGTCTCAATTGTCCCCCCTCTATCTCGAAAGTGAAGAAAAGCTAAAGACACCTCTGACCTCGCCTAAAACTCTCAACTTTAACTCCTTCTACCAAATTAACCCCCTAAAGCGCACAATATTCTGTCACATGGTTTACATGACCAGTTAACATTTCAATTCACTACTTCAACATTTGCGCGGGTTTCTTAAGCGCGAACGTACGTTTATTCTTGGCCATTAATCAGACCCATGACATAACGCTATAGGTGGCAGTGACTGTAATTTTCTACAACAATTACTGAATTATCCATCCATAAAGTGATTTACAAAATGACACCTAAACCTCGTGTTTCGGTGTTCACTTAAGGGGGCAGGGGGGGGTCTTCATGTAAATTTTCTCAAAATCGACTTTTTAGTTGTTTCTGATAGATGGGAGTGATATCTATCAGATGCTTTTAATCCGATAGAAAAATATTGCTCCTAGCAGAAATTATCGCCTGTAGAAGGTCAGCGCTTGTGTGTAATTGTATTGCGAGAGCGATTTTTGATCGCGTGCCCTGAAAATCGAGTCTAAAAATCTATCTCCTCCTACATTTTTTGAGCAAATACCCTCAAACTTTCAGGATATGTCCTAAGGATCATTTAGAAGGGATTGTCCAGGCAAAATTTTGAGATAGGCCTTTAAACATTTTTTATTCGATTTTGAAAATCTTGGACCTGGTTTTTTGACGATTTTTCGAGGTCCAAGATTTTTAAAATCGAATAAAAAATGTTTAAAGGCCTATCTCAAAATTTTGCCTGGACAATCCCTTCTAAATGATCCTTAGAACATATCCTGAAAGTTTGAGGGTGATTGCTCAAAAAATGTAGGAGAAGATAGATTTTTAGACTCGATTTTCAGGGCACGCGATCAAAAATCGCTCGCGCAATACAATTACACACAAGCGCTGACCTTTTACCGGCTATAATTTCGGCTAGGAACAGTATTTTTCTATCGGATTAAAAGCATCTGATAGATATCACTCCCCTCTATCAGAAACAACTAAAAAATGACATCAATAGATTGTATGATTGGTCAGTGAGAAATCGAATGAAGTTCCATCCACAAAAGTGCAAAGCCCTTTCTGTGTCCCTGCAAAGAAACGTGCTGGATAACTTGCCATTCAATACCTTCTTCTATAAACTTTCTGGAAGTGATATTGACTTTGTGCCCTCTCAGTCAGATTTAGGAGTCGCAATAAACTCCAGGTTTAATTGGGGTGCACAATGTAAAGCGCTTGTTTCCAAAGCTAACTCCAGACTTGGACTACTTAAGAGAACATGTCATTTCACTACTGATAAAAGGCAGAAAAGATCGTTCTATTTGGCGGTAATTAGGTCTATATTTGAACATTGTTCTGTCATATGGTCCCCTCAATCTGCAACTCATCTTCAACAGTTTGTTGCTATCCAAAAGAGGGCTATTAAATGGATCAATGGTGAACCCTACTCCAGTTATAATGACGATAAACTTGCTACAGAGCAAAAGAAGCTAAATATTCTCCCTGTCATGCAGAAGTTTATTTATAACGATCTTATGACCTTCTATAAAATAGTGAATAGCATAATCCCAGTTTCGCTTTCTACTTATATAGTCCTATGCCGTCCAGAGGGCACCCGATACACTAGGCACAATGCTCAAATAATTGATAGGTCGGATACTTCAACTTACATGAGTACCACTGTGCCCTGCTCGGATACCTTCCGAAATAGCTTCTTTCATAGATCTATGCTGAAATGGAATAGTCTACCAGTATGTATCCGGCAGTCAGAGCGGATTTCTACTTTTAAGGCCAATCTGATCAAGTACCTCTGGGCTGCCGATACAGTCTGGCCAGACTAGCTCAAATGTGTTTTTGTTGGTTACAATTCTGCCGTCCAATTTCCTATCCACTTGTCCTTTCTTTTTTCTTCTATCAGTTGTGACGGAATTGTAATGAACAAAATCCATATATAATTATTTATGATATGTTTGATTTTTTGTTATTGTATGTCATTCAAATTTGGTAGACGGCCCCAACATTAATGTGGCTCTTGCTATGTGTTGGTTCAGCCGAATTAATTATTATGTAATCAAGTTTATTTTTCTCTTTTAGTTAGTTGTCATCCGGCCAAACATTAAGCAACTTATATTGCAGTTCCATTTATCAATTAGTATATCAAAATATGTCATTGTAATTTTGCATGGCTGAAATGTAACGCTTGATTTATATATATAATAATTAATTGAATTTTCAAATTAAAGTCGATTTTGAGAAAATTTCCATGAAGACCCCCCTGCCCCCTTAAACGGTACTTGGCGGCTGAACTGTGGTGTTTGACGTTTGCAGCTAGATCGGACTCTGATATTGTATTAGCAAATTTGTATAGTGTATAATTTTTTAGTGTTTATCATACTCTAGCTCTGCAACCTGGTAGCGCGGCTGACACAAAAACAAAATGTTGGCCTGGCTTGTGCATAACCAAGTAAATAACACGCACTCCGATAAAAGCCGCTTGGAAAAACTCCGCAAAATGTTCATTGTAGTCAACGGGCAACGGGCACAAAGAAGCACTTCTAGCAATTGTGTCCTTTACCCTCCTGCATAATTTGAACATTTTTGTGGCTAACTCATTGAACAACATCTGAATTAATATGTGTCTAGTATTAAAAGATTCAGTAAGTTATTTTTTCATGTACGCTGTACACTGTAGTTAGTAAATGCAAACCAAACTTTTTTGATCAGCCGCGCGCCAAACCAGTGTTGCACTAGGTAAAAATTGTGTATATTTTGTTCATTTTTGAGTGTAAATTAATTTATTAATTTATCACAAATTATTTTATTATAATAAAACCACTTATGTGAAATGGTTATTTTGACTTTAAATATTTGAACTAAATATGAATTAATAAAACAAAAGTTAATAAAACAAAAGTTAAATTTATTACCAATTATTCTATCAATACATATCATAAATTCTAATATTGGAAACACAATGCAAAATGGATGTCTTAAACTATAATTTTGTTGTGACTAATAATCTATTGACTTTCAGAGTTGAATTTTAGTTAAGTATGAAATGCCACCACATCATAGTTAGGGTAAAATGTTATTTTTAAATTTTAAAATTGAGAAGATTGCTCTATGGCTTAAAATTTAAAATTCTAGCAAAAGATATCTTATTGTTAAATAGTTGGTTACAGTTTATGACAGTACTGGCATGACTAGTTTTATTGTGGCTGGTAAAAGGACCCAGTTGCCTGTAAGGGCTTTACCGAACCCCAGGGGACCGCAATGTGATAAGATCAGGCCAGATGTTTCTATGTAGAGCAATTTATTTATTTTGGAGCTATGGTTATATGATATTGCTGGTGGTCATGTTTAAAGATCAGTTTATCCTTGTGTGCTAATTATCCATCCAGATGCTTAGTGATGTGGGTAAATCATGCCATTCTACGATATATAATGTTTGACCATAAATTTGTTTTTACCACATAAACTGTGGCACTAATGTCAATTAACAATATTTACATTCATTGATATTTAAAGCGTGTTTTTTCCCAGCACTACTACACAACAAAAACCTGTCGGCCCACCGAGGAAACACGGTCGCAGAACAAAGAGCCCAATTGTGCTCTTCTATTCTGTGATCGTGTGTATCTACTATAAACTAGCTAAATGTACTAAGAAAATTTAATGGAATCATTACAGTCGTTTGATAAGTTCACGTGTCAAAGTAATGTTCATGGTGATCATATTTTTGGATCCCCGGTGGGCAAACACTCGTCCGAAAGGTCAAGGCAATTGATTGTGGGTTTAAAATAAATTTTTTTTTACTAAAAAAAAATTTGTTTTACTAATGCCCATATGAGTAATTCTGACTTAACAATTTATATCTGACATTGTATCAACTAGCAGGACTTTTAAAATCAGTAATTTATATAAAAGATGTTTTAGAAACACAAGGAATTAACGGTCACAGTTTCTCGAATAATTGGTTGTCACTTGTAACGGAAAGTTAGTAATCCATCACACTATAAATAATCCAAACTAGGCCTAGGTATGCAGAAGATATGTTAGCATGGTATGCAGGTTGTCTCTCAAACTCCTACAACAACTCACCATAATCCCAAGTCTGTAAATGCCTCTTATTCTCGTCTATCTGAGGCTTTCCGACATGTGACTGCTGGACCTCTCCAATGTCAGGTAAGGGAAACAATTGCCATTCTTTATGCTGATGATGTGGAATCTATCACAATGCCAGATTGTCCCGATGCAGTATCATGTTTACTGTTTAGAGAATCCCTCCAGTTTCAAATAAACAATCTTTCAGTTCCAGAAATTATTTCAAGCTTTAAAACGGAAAATTCGACCAGATCCATATTTGCAGGAGCAAAAATATTTTACAAGTCTTATGTCTTTGATTTGTTAGATAAAAATGTGAATGTTTGTATTTCCATTAACATAGTTTTAATACTTTCAATTACTACAATATAACTGTTTCAGGAGATATGTTCCCTGTTTATGTGTTTTAGGCTAGTGGAGCCTTGTTTGATATCCCTTCCCTTATACCCTTGGTGTTTCATTGCTTTCACTGGTACTTGCCATTTCACATTGGTAGCAAGGAAGTGAACCTGCTGATTTGAGATCTACCGTGATGACAGGTGAAAACTCATTGGAGACACCTGCACCAAGCCCGGGTAACAATAGAACTGGATACAAGGCTCCACCGGCTTACAAGGAAGGTCGCTGCTATGAGGACTGGAGGTTGGACATTGATCTGTGGAGTGAGTTTACGGCTCTTCCCAAGAAGAGGAGGGCAACTGCGTTTCTTTTGGAGCTGAAGGAAGGAAAAGTCAAGAACCATGTTAGATCCTTGGGCAAGGAAGTGCTCATAGCTGAGGATGGCTTGGAGCAGATAATAGCTCGATTAGATAAGATCTACAAGGAAGACTCGTCACATATAGCATATAAAATATACTGTAAGTTCGAACAGTATGAAAGGCGCAATGAAATGAATCTGCAGAGTTATATATCTGAGTTCGAGAAGTTGTACGACGATCTGAAAAAGCACAAGATCGAGCTGCCAGAAGAAGTACTTGCATATAGAGTATTGAACAGTGCCAAGCTGGCACCAGAGAAAGTCGATCTTGCATTGGCAACTGTGAAGAGTATGACCTATGCAGAGATGGCAAAAACGATAGGGAAAATCTTCACACGACTCCCAAACACCGACAGTCAGCAACACGGAAGTGAAACTACTGTGATAAAGAGTGAGCCAGAAGAGTGTAACTTTACCTACAACAACAACTGGAGACGAGGCTCTAGAGGAGGTTCAAGAGGTTCAGGGAGTTACAGTGGTCCGTATAAAAATAACCGAGGAACCAACAGAGGAACTTCATTTCCATATTCAAGAGATGCTAGAACCAGGTTCAATAGCGGCTGTTTTGAGTGTGGAGATAAGGGCCATATTGTTCGTTTTTGTCCAAAGAAAGCAAGAGGTGCTCAGTACTTCGCGGAGGAAGAAATGGAATCAGAGAACTCTGGAAGCGCCTACGTGACTCTGATGGTAGAAGAAACCACCCTCATTCAGGAGAAGCCTGATTCCAGCTCACTAGTGTTCGAGACACTATCGTGTGCAGTCATTGATTCTGGCTGCACAAAGACTGTGGTTGGAAGAAACTGGGTTGAACAGTATGCAGAAACATTGGGAGAAGAAGAAAGACGGATGATGACTCCAACTGAATGTGCAACCCCTTTCAAGTTCGGAGATGGTAAGAAGGTGACCTCAGTTGAAAAGATAAAGATCCCAGGGAGGATAGGGACGCAGAAAATACTCATCGATGCAAATGTTGTGAGTTGTGACTTACCCCTACTATTGAGCAAACCCTCTTTGAAGAAGGCAGGAGCAGTAATTGACTTCACCAAAGACACAATGATGTTCAACGGAGAACAGGTCAAATTGCTTGAGTGTAAGTCAGGACATTACTGTGTACCCCTGTGCAACAGAAGGAGATGTCTCAGCGACTCAAGTGTGCAGTTGGTATTGACAGTTACTGAAGATACTATGGGTGGCACAGATGAAAAAGAAATGAAAAAGAAAGCCTTGAAACTGCATAGGCAGTTTGCTCATGCTCCAGCATACAAGCTGCAGAGTATGTTGAGGAATGCAGGCTTCACTAAGAAAGAGTTTATGAAGGCTCTAGAGATAGTATGCAGTAACTGCGAAGTGTGCCAAAGATATGCTAAGCCAAAACCAAGACCGGTTGTCGGGCTGCCAAGGGGAACTGTTTTCAATGATTGTGTGGCAATGGACTTGAAAACTGTGCAAGGACAGCCAACATTCATCCACATGATAGATTGTGCGACTAGATTTTCGGTTGCTAAGATAATCCCGAACAAAAAGAAGGAAACTGTTGTTGATGCAGTGTGCACAAGCTGGATTGCATTGTTTGGAAGTCCGAGGCGTTTCATGGCAGACAATGGTGGTGAATTCTCCAATGCAGAATATGTGGAGATGTGTGAGCAGTTTAATGTGGAACTACAGCAATCTGCAGCAGAAAGCCCATTCAGTAATGGGATGGTGGAAAGGCACCATAGAATAATAGCCGAGATGATGGTGAAGACAAAAGAAGATGTACGATGCACATGGGAGGTGTCACTAGCTTGGGCTGTCAGTGCAAAGAACTCACTTCAGATGTCAGGAGGATATTCCCCGTACCAGCTTGTCTTGGGAAAGAACCCGCCATTGCCAAATGTGGTAGATAATCATCTTCCTGCCTTGGAGGAGAAAGTTGCCAGTACACATCTGGAAGACAATCTGAGAGCAATGAGGACTGCACGTGAGGAGTTCATAAAAGCAGAGAATAGTGCTAAAATCAAACGTGCCTTGCGGTCACAGGTCCGTACCTGTCAAGACACTGTGCTGGAGATGGGTGAAAAGGTTCTCTATAAGAGAAACAATTCTGACAGATGGAGTGGACCTGGTGTTGTGATAGGACGTGATGGTCAAACTTTTGTTGTCAAACATGGCTTCCAAATAGTGAAAGTGCACCCATGCCATATCTCTAAGAAGACGACCCAAGAGAAGCATCAATTTGTTTCACCCGAAAGTAATGATGGCACAGAAAAAAGGATGGTTGATGAAGATCAGACTCCAAGATACTATTCTGAAGAAGTTTCACTTGAGCAGAGAGCTTCTAGAAAGAAAGAGTTGAGAATTCCTACAACAAGCACGGTAGTAACTGCTGACACCCGCGAGTTGGCAACTCAAGTCATTGTACCTGCGGCAAGTAGACAACAAGAGTCTGTAGAAAAGATAGAGCTCCCCAAAGTGAAGACACATGTTCTCTTTCGAGCAAAATACCCTGAAGACGGAGAAGAAGAAACATGGGAGAAGGTTTATATTCACAGTAGAGCAGGAAAAGCCTCTGGAAAATATGCTAAGTGTCTGAACATTCAGCTCGATGGGGAAAGCACTACCCAATGTGTGGACTGGTCTGAACTTGCTTCTGAGTGGCATGCTGATCCAGAACAAGAGCAAGAACAAGAGCATGAAGTCATGTTCACCAATGGAGAGATGTTTGAGCAAGATATAGTTGATGCAAAGATTGCAGAACTCGAGAAATTCAAGCGCAATGAGGTCTATGATGAAGTGGGAAATGATGGTCAGTCTACAATTGGTGTAAGATGGGTAGTTACCCGAAAAACAACAGGAGAACCAAAAGCAAGGTTGGTTGCTCTGGGCTACCAAGAGAGGGATAAAGGTTTGAGGGCTGACTCACCGACATGTAGTAAGGATACTATTCGTATCGTTACAATGTTGTGCCAAGGACTGAAGTGGCTCATTCAACACATAGATGTACAAGCTGCTTTCTTACAAGGGGAACAGTTAACAAGAACATTGTTTATAAAGCCACCAAAGGAAGCATCAACAGTAATGCTTTGGAAGCTGAAAAAATGCATCTACGGACTGATTGATGGGCCTCGAAAATGGTATATTACTCTGAGACGTACTCTAGAGGATCTGGGAATGACAATCTCTAGTTATGATGAATCGTTTTTCTTTGGACACCAGGGGGAAGAGCTGGCTGGTCTGATAGCCATTCATGTGGATGACCTCATGTTTGGAGGGAATGAGTGGTTCTTAAGCCATGTCATGGGTTCATTGAAGAGCAAGTTTAAGTTGAGCACTGAAGTTGAAGGTTCTTTTGTGTACACTGGTCTAGATATCAAGCAGAGTTTCATGCTCATCAATGTTTCTCAGTTTGGATACATTGAACAAATATCTGAGATCAAAATCGATTCAGCTAGAGTAAAACTAAACGATGTGCCAATAAACGAGGTTGAAAAGAGACAGCTCAGGTCAGCTGCTGGACAACTGCTGTGGGTTGCTACTCAAACGAGGCCTGACATAAGCTATGGAACTTGTATTGCCGCAAACTCGTACTCCTCTGGAACTGTGCGTGATCTGAAGTTGGTAAATAAAACAATACGGTTTATGAAGCGAAACCCGTTATCACTGAAATTCCCGAAAATCCAGTTTAATGGGGCATTTATCATAGTCTTCAGTGATGCCTCATTTGGAAATCTTTCTGATGGATCTTCTCAGGGTGGACACAAAATATTCATGGCTGAAAAGAGTGGAAAATGCTGCCCTCTTACCTGGCAGAGCCGAAAGATACGTAAAGTTTGCAAGAGTACACTCGGTGCAGAGAGTTGGGCTCTAGTTGATGCTCTAGATGCAGCAGAGCTAATATCAACCCAACTCGACCAGATCTTCAGGGGAAAGGGCTTGTTCCCTATCATCGGTCTAACAGACTGTAAGTCACTGTATGATGCGATTAGAACAACCAACTCTCTGGAAGATAAGGGCTTGCGGATTCCAATGGCATGTCTGAGGCAACGATTTAACCGAGATGAGGTCAAATTTGTTTGGGTTCCGACAGGATTGCAACTGGCAGACTGCCTTACTAAGGCAGGGGCTTCATCGGGGCTACTACGTGGGACTATTGAGGATGGGAAACTTCCCAAAGCTGTATCAGCTTTATTGTTCAATGGAATTTAGAACGCTTATTTGTTGGTTACAAAAACAATTGAATTATATGAATTTTATGTGTGATGTATTAGTTCGTATTCGAACGTTTTTTTAAGAGTTTTTAAAGAGTTGAATAAAGGTATATATTTATTATTTTTATCATAATTACAATTTATCAGATGAATTGGTCTCATTCGAGCACGAGCATTTTTATCTATTTAAGTTTTTATTAAAGAGAAAGAAAGGGGAGATTGTGAATGTTTGTATTTCCATTAACATAGTTTTAATACTTTCAATTACTACAATATAACTGTTTCAGGAGATATGTTTCCTGTTTATGTGTCTTAGGCTAGTGGAGCCTTGTTTGATATCCCTTCCCTTATACCCTTGGTGTTTCATTGCTTTCACTGGTACTTGCCATTTCACAAAAAAGACTTTTTCCCTAGGTTTTCTGTGGTGGAAAGTCGTGCAAGTATGAGAGGTCAGATGTGTGGAGTGCCGAGCAGATGGCTATCCCTGGCTTGTTTTCTCACTGGTATGTAGGAATGCATGTTATGAGGGAATGCATGCTATCTTGGAAATACAACACGATTTTCTCTTTTATTCTCAAATAATAATTATATCGATTCTTAGGTATTTAATGCTCTATCTACTAGGGTGACGGATAATATTCTTGCAATGGCAAGACCAAACTACACCGAGATGAAGAAACACAGTATGATAGACTCTTTTAAAAAGTATGTATTGCATCTAGCTGGTCCGATTCTATTTTGGTCCAGGATTGAATTAGTTGGTCTTTAAAATGAGTCACTGTATGCTTGTTTGCTCAGAAACCTAAATGCTAAATTCACTTTTCAGATCAGGCATCACTGCTATTATAAATCTTCAAGAAACAGGTGAACATGCCAGCTGTGGAAATTCGCTTCACAGTTCAGGCTTCAGTTACGATCCCATAGAGTTTATGGATAACGAAATTTACTATTATAACTTCAATATCCAGGTTAGCAAGATTGCAGGTCGATGAATGACTAGTAATATGTAGTTGTGAACTTTACATTTGGCAAATTTCTTTTTGCGACTCTGATTTGATTTGAATCTGTACTCTAGTTAAAACTTGAATAAGTGACATACCATGACACTTCTAATGTACATTTTTCAGGACTACTCAGTACCCCTACAACGATTCCTACTGGATATCTGTAAAGTAGTGACCTTTGCACAGAGTGAAGGTTGTGTGGCTATACATTGCCATGCTGGACTGGGACGAACTGGTGTGGTGATAGCTTGCTTTCTTGTCTATCATCACAAGATGAAACCTAAAGATGTAAGTTTGTATTCTGCTTTGACATTTTCCTACAAATCACCTCTCTTTGTTGTGAGAAGTTGCCTACTCTGTGGATTCCTTGGTAACCGAGTTGTAATTGTTTAGTCTAATACTGTGTAGTCTAAGACCTTCAATTTTGGTGGGTTGACACAAATTAATACAACAACATAAAAACAAAGATAGAGAAAGAAAACATATAAACAATATAATAAATCCTCAAAAATCCTTCTCTAGAGACGTGATCAGTAAATTTAAACACTTTACTCTACACTGACAGTTATAAGGCTAGAAAATCGTTTACTAAAATACCTAAGGCTAAGGCCTGAGATTTCTTCCATTCAACTGCAAGGCATGAAAACTATCAATGTTATTTATATCGGTTGATATATTATCCTCTCCACATCAGTTTGATTTTATACTAGAAATGTAATGCAGCGTTAATTGTTCAATTTCTTAATTTCCTGACTGCTGAACGTTTAAAAAGTGTAGTACCTTCAACCTTGTAAAGGAACATTGTGACAGCTCAGTACCAACCAAAATAGTAACCAAGAAACAAATGTAGTAAATTGGGCCTACGATATACGATTGTGGACTCGAGTAATGCGATCCCGGAAGGCCTCCCCTTTGCAGTGCGAGCTCGGAAGCGGGAGCACTTGCCTTCAGAGGTACGTATCGAGAATGACTCGGACCGAAAATTTTCTAAGTCAAAATCTAATCAAAGATTCATGCTACCCTGATCATTATTAGCCGAAAATATTTTTGCTGCACGACAAAGGGGGGCCCCCGATTATTAGGGGTCAGATCATATGACGTATAATTAGTGATGTGACGTATAATTAGTGATGTGATCCACCAGCTATGATTTACAGAACATGTGAACTCTACCCTATATCTAGCCCAGTTTAACTCCGTACTTTTGATTTATAATTTACTACAATATATCGTGCCCAAACACTGAGGCTACAGAAAACAAATACTCGATCTTGCTAGAGTATGTGGAGTAAAATGAACAGATATCGTGGAGTTGGGTATGGCAATTCCTTCGACTCTTAGCGAACAAGAACAGCTTGACAGAGGTGAAAGTAGCAATTGCTCACATCCCATCCTGGCAAATTCTTCATAAAAGCATTCACTCTGGCCAAGGACATGAGAAATCGTCTGAGAGGGATAGATAGCACGGACACTTCGTAGAAAGTTTGTGCTTGCAGCACCGCCAGGAAGATGCGAGGGCTGAATCCTTGCTCTTCTTCCGACAGTAGATGTATCCATCAGAGTCAAGTAGCTGTTGAGATCCTGTCCGACCGATACTATTGTCTTTCATCTTCCAGTAATATACCTAAGAACACTTGATCGGCTCACTCCCCTTGCATGCCTTTGGCACGTACGTCTCACATCCCTTGATACAAGAACCCCCTTTAGCAAAAGCTCCCGTCCCTTATGTGATCTACGAGTCGAGCAGTCAGATCATGTTTACTTCTTAATATACAGATATTATTTACAGAATTGACATGTGAACTCTACCCTATATCTAGCTAATTTCTGGGTCAATTAAATTCTACTGATGGATCACATCACTAATTATTCGTCACATCACTAATTATACGTCATATGATCTGACCCCTAATAATCGGGGGCCCCCCTTTGTCGGCCTCCCGTCCGGACCTACCCTTTGATATACGATTTTTGGACTCGAGGGTTCCCTCTTGTAATGCGATCCCGGAATGCAGGCCTCCCCTTTGCAGTGCGAGTCATCAAGGATGACTCGGACCGAAAATTTTTTCAACGTTTTTCTGGAAAGGACTTTTGTTCATGTTTCAAGCTGTCATGATCATTATGAGCGGAAAATATTGTGTCCAAATCTTGTGCGAAAAATTCTCATAATGTTTGTCTGTTAATGTCCGCCAATGTCCGCTAATGTCCCATAAACACGTCCGTTTGTCTCATAGAATCCAAAAAGGACAGGACATTGGCGGACATTGGCAGACATGTAACCCCCCCTATAATCAATCATTCAAGCGAATTTGGTTCAAATTATTAAAATCAGTTTCAGTCTTGACTGACAGACATTCATTACACCACAATAAATGCTACAGAAATATCAAGTTATAAGTTCAGTAATCCTCACTTGTTATAATATAATTGTTAATTAACCTGAATTTCTATAAAACACTGGAATAGGCCGTTGAGGTCCTGTCACCCTAACAGAGTTTTTCATCCTAAAGTTAGTAGTAATACCCAACTGTGGTGTAATCTGTAATCTTACTCTTAACACTTTAGTCTTAACGAACCTATTAAAACTAGAGATAGATCTGTAATACACCAAGGGGTTCAATGTGAAGTTTACATAGTTGATAAACATGGAAACCTTGAAGAATTGATCGTAGAAGTTGGCGTTCTCAGGATCACCAGGATCAACAAATATGTAGCATATCAACATAGCAGCAACAGAAATGTAAGATAGTACGAATACCCCGGAGATAAGGATGAGAGTAAGAATGCTCTGTCTCTGTAGTCCCCTCTCCTTGTTCACATACCACAGCAGCCAGACTGTAGTCACAATGATCAGCAGGATGGGGATAATGATGAAGAGGACAGAGTACACAGGAACCCACCACACACTAGCAGAGCGAGAGCTGGAAGAGTCGCATCTGTAGGAACCAGAGTTCATCTTCATCTCCCCCCTCACAGCGTTCATTGCTACAGGAACGGAGAACAGCAGGATTCCCAACCACAGACACAGTGCTATGTACCTGCCGGTCCTGCGTGCGCGCAGTCTAGCGTCCAGCGGGAACAACAGACTAGTCAGCTTACTAATGTTAAGGGAGCAGACAAGTGTAACATCTCCCAACAGAGCCAGCCAAATTACCCAGTATTGGAAGCAGCAGAGTCCTGTTCCAAACACCCACTTCTCCGTAGCCAGGGCCGGTATAGTGGGCAGGATGCCAATAGTGGTGTAGATCAGATCCCACACAGCTAGGTTACAGATCAGTATGACTGAGACCCGGTCTAACCTTATAGCGTTGTACACTAACACTGCTGCTAGTACTGTTATGTTACCGGGGATGGAGATGATGGCGCACGCGCACGTCCACGCTAGAAGAACGTAGCGCTCACCCGTAGCGTGCGGGATGAACGAGTCATCTGTTGAAGAGTTTGTTATCATCTCTACTATTCCTGGAGGACAATCCATTCCTGGAGGAGAATCGTCAGGTTAAAGGGGTTATAAATTTATTGCCTCTGCCGGCCAACAAAATGTGATAGCGAAATAAAATGAATTAACTGATGCTAGGAATCTCAGTAAGAGCCCCTGTGCACGTGACGGTTAAATGGCATAGTCCACGTGCCGGGCATTATCTTGTCTTTTGTGGTAAAAATAGTCCTTTCCTTGCGTTAATATTATCAGGGCGAAGTAATTTGCCCTGGTAGTGGTCGTTAGGATAGTTCCAAAGGATGATTATGATGTTTGTAAACATTTTCATAATGTTTGTCAGTTAATGTCCGCCAATGTCCGTCCGAGTCTGCCAATGTCCGTCAATGTCCGCTAATGTCCAAAAAAATGTCTCATAAAATCCAAAAAGGACAGTACATAGGCAGACATTGGCGGACATGTCAAACCCCCCCCCCCCCCCCCTAAATTTAACACGAAAAGTAATCCAGTACGTGGCTCGACTGCTATTAGTCTGCATGCTTGATTTAAGTTGTTCTCTCTGTGTGTCATCAGCCCTGCCCTGGCTAATGTCAATACCTGCACTGGACCACTAAGATCAGTACTTATAATACTGGACCTCGTACAAAATAAAAACCTATATCTACAGAATGGTGCATAATGGGTCTTGAGAACGATCGTGAGATTAGCACATTAGAAGTTATAAAATATATAAAGATAAAACAGATGTGGCCAGACAACTGTTAACTATTTGAAGGCTCATAATCTAGGTTGTTATTTTGGTGTGTCGTTAGAGAGGCAGTCCTGACCAAGTGGTTAATGCTTAATGCTGGACCACATACAACATATTATAAACATTTACCTTTATCAACATGCAGGTTAAAAAATAAAAATGCAAGAACACAGACCTTTATTCAAGGAAGGTTCATAACAAATAGTAGTAACTACTAGTGACCGTGAGCTTAGAGGTTAGTACAGGGTATAGGACTCTGTGGCGGAAGTCACTGCGGCGGTGTACAGTCCGGCGGAGGACGGTACAGCGGAGGCCGGTACAGCGGTACTTTCCAAAAAGGTTGGACGGTACGGCGGATCACATGACACCCACTTTACTTTGGACAGTACGGCGGCACTAGAAACTAAACCTATAAGATAGACCTAGCACTGCTAATATAATAACAAAATCGATTAGCTTTAAAACACCGCCGCAGTGACTTCCGCCACAGTGACCGGTTCCCGTTCAAAATCAGGGTACCAACGGTACTGTACAGGATGGAGTGCCTACTTTATCTCATACTAGCATAGATAATGTGGGTGAGGTCACGGCGAGTGAACAAATTTTCAATTATCAAAGACAAAGTCACTAAATACCTTACCGAACAAACGACACAAATGCGATCTCTATCGATTTAATGAAATTTGAACCCTTTTTGTGTTTAAATACCCCAGAGTCTATTAGCACAATGCACATGGTATCTGTATGATCCCTTGCCAGAATTACTATTTTTAATAGCGATATATAGTTGACACCAGCAGCAAATGCGGTGGATTTCTTTATATTGGATCAGGATGAAAAGGTACTCTCTTTTGAATACCTTAGTAATGATGATGAACCACAGTCCTTGTTTGAAATTGAGGAAGCTATCAAGAAGTTGAAGAACTATTAAAGTAAGGTTCTCCTGGACTTCTGCCTTGGTTAAAGGATCTTTTTGAAACGGTATGGAAAAGTGAGGATATTCCTAATGATTGGAGAAAAGGAATAATCACCATCATCCCAATATCACATATTGCAACAATAACAGAGGGATAACTCTACGCTCAACTGTATCGAAGTTATTCCAAATTGTGTTGTTAAAAAGACTGAGTGATGGGCTAGAAAAATTACTCAGAGAGAATCACTAATCAATATTTAATAGCAATTTTTATCCCCCTCCCCCCTCCGTAATCAAACGTAATCAAGACCTACCCCACCCCCCCCCCCCCCCTCAATATTTTTTCATGAAATTTTCAGAATCAACGTATTGTCTGATGACCTTAAGTTTTGGAGTGGAATTTTGAGTTAGGCCTTCAAATTTGGCGGCCGAATTCTGAAATTTGGCGGGCATTTTTCAGAATTTGGCCGCCAAAAGAACTAAACTTAGGAACTATACCCCTTCCCCCTTCCGCTGATTAAGAAATATGTGAACGACCCTTAAATAAAAAAACAAAAAATAAATATTAATCGATGCAATTTCGAATTGCACAGAAACTGGCTTACCACACTAAGTATAATTGGCAAAGAAAGCTACGCTTTTTATTGTCAACGATTACAAATCTAAGTCAGGTGTGTTCATTACCAGGTTTGTCAGCTGCAAATAATTTGCTACAAAGACCATAGGCAACAAAATCAAATATATTATGGCACTAATGCCTATTCTGCTGTTAGGAGAGAAATCATTGAACCGATTTAGTGATCGAATTCAAAAGGAAATTTGAGCAGGTGCTTGTTTACTGGGCTACTCTCAGCCTGCCATTCCGCCGAATCTCAGCCTGAGGTCCTCAGGTAAGTGTTTGTAGATTAGCTAAAATCATAGTGATATTTAAATAAAATGACGTTATAAAGTTTGTGAAAAGGTAGCTGGTAGAATACTACTCTAACAATAACAATTAAATACAGGTGGTTCTGCCAACCACCTCCTTTATAGAAACTTAATAGTAAACCCCATGCAGTAGAAATAGAATGGCCTCTAATAAGGATTTCGCAATATCGACCATGACGTTATTACGCTATTACGCTCTGAACAGGTTCCTGACGATTTCGTTTTTCTCGAAACCACGTACAGTAAAACTCCAATTTACTATATTCTTTGCCCGTTTTGTGTGGGGCATGATAGATTTTTGAGCTTTTAAGTTGTCAGAAAACAAAATGTAACAAATAGTAACATCAAACATGTACTTAATTATCAATTATGGTAGAAATCCCCCCTAGGATTTGCATACCTTATCAATTCTGATGCAGAATGACCATACAAAGAATCCTTCAGAAGCTGAGATAAAAATATCCCATATACGTGCCTGATATGAAATATGGGCGTGGCTCCACACAACATGCGGCCCTCGGTGATTTGAGTAACCAATGACCTATTTTACCATATCCAGTAGCAAAAAACTCTATACATCGAAGTGCACACTCAACTCCTCCCTGCTACTGAAGTACCTGTTCCGATCCTAACTGGAGGATTGGTTATACATCGGAGGATGGGTTTACGCATCGGTGGATAAGTCACACCTATCATGCTGGCTTCCAGAAGAATTATTCTACCAATTGTTAATATTATAAAGCTACTAGAAAGCCCGTGGTAACAGGGAGGAACCTAATAGTATTCTTTCGAAGTAAGTTCAAATCGTTTCAAAAAGTATTCATCCCCACCGAAGATACAGCCGATTAAAATGTAGCTCGCACTGAACACAACGTTATTACCACAAAACCGATCAAAATGACGTTAAAACAATCTTTGCACGTGCATGTGTGCATTAAAACACCGTTGCTATGGAACCTTTTGGTTGTTACCTAAATTCCTATTTCTCGTCTAATTTGCACGTCGGCGGTCGTACAGACATACAGACAGAAACAATTCTTTGAATTATAGTAGAGATTAACATGTCACAATACAATTTTCAGATCTCAGTCCCAAAATGTCCAGGTCTCGACCCACAAAATTTTCCTCTGCTTAAAGTTAAAAGTTCGAGCATGCTAGTTTTGTCATTTGCACGTTAATTGGCGGTTATAGGTCACTTGTAAAAACAATTAGCTGTTAGCTAATATGTATTTCTCCTTAAAATATATACGTTTTACGATAGAATGCTTCGTAGAATGACATCGTGAACTATTTGGAATTTCCTCATTTTTTTGTTGCCATGGTTTCCATTCAGTAAACACTGAACATTGTCTCCGCTCTTGTTGTCTGAGCTATCAAGTATATAAGAGTAAAATGGTAAGGAACTGTCACTATCGTGAAGAAACAATATTGTAACGCGCGTAAACTGTTTTATATAAAAACTTGACTTTCAGCATTTTGTGTAGCATTTTGACAACACGATCTGTTGCGCGCAGAATAACTTTCATTTCTAAATATTCCCGTAGACTGCAGCAGAGCTTCAATTTTTCTCGGTTCAGAACTCAGACGATATTTCCCAATCCCCAGAAAGTGACAAGTGCACCAATTTAGTCACCCAATTAGTTTGTTTCCAATAATAAAGTCGCATGACGACAAACTAAAACTGCTGAAGGAAAGATATATCCGTAATCCTATTATTCTGTAGAACGTTAATTTAACTCAACCTGAAGTTACATTTCAAGTGGTCAGAAGAAATTTTGCTCTCTCTTGAGTAATGGAGTATTAATTAGTTATTTATTAGATTACGGGACCAATATTTAACCTCATTTCGACATTTCAGGCAATTCTGCTGGTGAGAAAGAACAGGCCACGGTCCATCCAGACGAGAGGACAACTGAAAGCTGTATTTCGTTTCGCTAACTTTCTTTCTCCACTATGGATACAATTCCCTTCACAGTAAGTTTTTTTAAATGATCATTCTTGATTTAATATTTTTCTTGATCATGGAGGTTTCTAAAATATTTAAACTATAACAGTATAATAAAAAACAATGTCATTTCGGCTTATTATTAGTGCGCCGTTGTTACCAAGCTACAACCTTGAAGAGATTATAGCAAATCAGAAAATAGTTCTTCACGGCACCGAGGGGAAGACACTCAAGTACACCCCAAAGGTAACACTAAAAACAAAATAACAATATACTGACAACTATTGTTCATTCCGGTAATGATAACCATGACATACATATATTTACGTCTATGCATTTTACTGCAGAATTTCGATATCATCTTTAAAATTTGTACAAAAACTTCCAAAGATTAAGACATTTGTGTCTGCAGGTTGTTTACATGGTATGTTGCTGGGTGATGGAGAAAGTAGGACAGCCCACCAGTGTTCTCCACAAGAGGATCAGAGCTAATAACGAAGTTTCAAGACCAGTCACGTGTCCTTCAAGTTACCAGGTTATCTTCTTTTGGGTTTTTTTGATCTGATTATATGCACGTGGAAATCCATCGTACTGGCCGAGTTTTTGGATTAAAATAGGCAACAAAAAAACACGGATTAGACTTCTAGGGTGAGTCAATTAAGTTTTAAACTGAGAATGTCCGATCAACTAGACTATAACTGTACGTTATTTTAGTTTTGTTTGCAGCAGTATGATCTAGATGAAGATGACCTAGACTCGCTGAACGGAGCCGAGTGTACAGAGAAAGAAGTGGAGGAACTTGAGAGACTGATGTCAACTACAGGGGTCTTCAGGAGATCCAGGAGTGTGGAGAACGTACCCGACCTCCCTTCTCCTTCTCATCCCTACGTTAGTTACTACAATTTGTTAATTGTGTTATATTCATGTGACTTGTGTTCTAACATATATGGGGGAATACATTTTGTAATACTATGACTGTGATGTTGCCAGTGTATTGTCAGTGAAGCAACAATTATCCAACCTCAGGATATCAGGATCAACAAGATATCACATCGTCTGAACCTGAGTCCCAGGTCTTCCCGGACACAGACCCACATCAACCAGGACCAGGCCAATTCTTCTGACACTGTTGTGTCGTCTGACTCTGTGGAGGCACCGGAGAATGACCTACTTCAGGAGGTCTGTCAGATGTAACCTGACATATTCATATCAACTATCACTTGAGATTTGCATCATTAGTACCATGGATGAAGTCAATGAATCCAGTATTTTTATTAGTGATGGTTATATCTCGGACGATCTTTTTAGCTCTTAGTACCTTTAGTATAGATAATGTTAGCACATCTTTCTGTGTCTTTTAACTGTTTGTAAGGCATTATATCATGATATCAATGATCATGACATTTGCATTTGATAATGGATATATTTTAAGGGAGACTCGGCCAGCATCCTAGATCTACACAACATCTCAGAAGATGCTGACACTGCAATCAAGCAGTTTCTAGCGGGGGTATCTGGTAAAGAGTTACAGGATGGAGAAGGCAGTGGTGCGAAGTACGATATAGATCTGGTCATATCTCAGATAAACGTGGGCGTCTGGGAGTCAGTAAGTACTCTTTTATTTAGAGTCTAAGTTTTGTTCAGTGATTTTATATGATGGTTTCAAAATGTTGGTGAAATTGAGTACACAAGTTAAAATATTGAGTCAAACTATTTAGTACATGAAGGTTAAAAACATTCTTTCAGACGAGTGACTTGGCACCGTTCCAGCTAGGGAGCCTTCTGAAAGCCTGGTTTAACTCTCTCTCCAAACCGGTCCTCAGCGTGTTCGAGATGGAGGCTCTGTTGAGAAAGTGCGATATCAGAGTCAGAAACGAGGGTGAAACAACTCCAAAGTACTTGGAGAGGCTTGCAAACGCTTTTGATACGCTGTCTCCGCCCTTGGTTGCTACCGTTCATTGTCTGGCAACTGCTTTCGCAGTGGTGAGATATTTTTTGCTTAGATTTGTATCTGATTCCCTTGACGGATAGAAGCTTATGCAAATTTTAAAATCCTCATGTTTTATGATCATTTTGTCAACTATGTACTACTACTACTTTTTATAAGTTTAACATTTTCTTTTCAGCTTCTTTATGGACCATTTCATCTTAAAAGTGGCGAGGTTTTCTCAATTTTACAGCATCTCCTCACTCAAAAAGACACTAGTAAGTATTGTTCGATCAATGCCTCCTGTAAAAATATGCTTAAGATAGATTTTGATGGTAAGGTTCACTGAACAAATTATGTGTTACGAACAAAACTGACCCTACATTGTCCAAATTAAGGCTGATCATATCTGGGCAATAACCTTGCTATAAAGAAGTTATAGTTGCATTATAGTTGCTAGGTTTGTAATATCCAAGCATTAACTGGACACAATTTATTTTCCGCAGAGGGGAGTCAAGATACGGTAGAGTTAAAACGGTTAAGTCCTATACTGACAGCGTTACTGCATTCGAAACGCAACGAAATATTGCGAGTTATGAAGCCCAGTAAATAAAGGAACATTGTTGTGGTTATAAGATGGCTCAAATATATTTGTTACCATTTTATCTTAATCATATTCTTAGCCGAGATCAGCATCACACATTTTAACCTCATAACTACTTTTTCATCTACAGATCTACAGTTCTTTAAAGATCATTGCGAGAGATTTTACCTTTATTTGGGGTCGTTCACATGATCAATTTGTTGGCAGTTTTACACATCCTCCCGATCCCCCATTCCTGGCAGCAATATTACGACATCTTATTCGGCCCCAAGATCCAAACCTAAAGATCCGGCATCAGCCGTTTTCATTTGAAAACCTCTCCCCCTCGGCTGATTACGTAATATGTGAACGACCCTTTTTTAACTTAGTTAATCACTAAACCTTTGCATGATATACATAGGATAGGAAATTATTTATTCTGAGATAACGAAACTATTTCTTATTAGCTCTTGACTGAGGCCTTGCTAGCGCACTGTCAAGTTTTATCATTCATATTTTGTTCATTTTATCATCCACAAGATGGACCAAAATATGCTGAACATTTAAATTAACTCTACACATGGGAAACTGAGCAGTATGAGTATTGGGTCAGCTTCCTTTCGTGTTGGGAGCAACTGGAATAATTGGATGTTCAGTTTATTTTGGCCCATCCTGTATATTTCTTATCGATTGAGGGTCAGTAGTTTTAATCTTTGCGTTCCGACACGCACAGTTCCGATATTTTAATTTAAAGTCATGTATTTAAGTCTTTATACGAGTTGTAAATATTTTATGTAGTTGCTAACAATATACAAATGCATGCGTTATTTTTTGTAAAGTGTCAGTCCTGTTGTGACCAGTATTTTGGATAGTGGCGTCGGAAGGAAATTAAATGTTGGATTTCGCGGCTCAGTTTGCCACACATTGCGTGTATCTTTTTCCGGCAAGCACTGCAGCGAGTCTTTAAGATTTAAAAATATATGGTCATACTGGAACAAGAAAACGATTTTATTATTTCATGTGAAACTAAGTAATCTAATTTCAATATTAAAACACAGAAATTTAAAAATCTTACACTATCAAAATTTTGTAGCTGATCATAACGACTAAATGGTTAAAAATTCTTAAACATTGATATATAATTGCCGGACAGTCTTCCATCGATCGAATAGTTTACAATATACAACCTCTATCTAGTTCTATTTTAAACTTGAAATATTACAACTCTATTAAATAATCGTCAGTAATTTCCCCCAGCTTGCGATCACTGATTCATATTACAACTACAAACACTATAAATCATTTTTACTTAACTTTTACTTAACTAGATTACATCTAAACTTATTCAACTGTACACTCTGTAAAGCATCGCCTACCTGGAAGTCACTTATTGTAAAACAGAACGTTGTTAACCCCAAACACGTGGTTTCTATTTGGATGTGTTACTTATTATATACATCATACGGGTAAACAAACGGCGAAAATTATCTAATATAATGGTTAACACAAAAATATTTAATGCAACATGACAGGAATTTTAGGATGAAATTGCAATGAAATGAAAGAGTTAATGCTACGGAAGATGTATAATACTGGGTAAAGTTTTATCACTTTTAATTTAAGAGGTACAACGTAGTCCCAGTGATTAAGGCTCATTATTACTGACTGGGAATTATGGAAAGAACTAAAGAATTACACATCTCCCGAACAGGATAACACAAACTCCCTTCTCTACAAAGATATATTTGAAAGTTCAACTTTACTAAGGTCTTCTTTTAACTCAAGATCGTCTGATTCGTTATCAGCGGTTACAGCATTGGTTACAACTCCACATTTAACATCGTCCGAATAGGGTATCGAGGAGTTTTGTGCCTCTCTGTGGGCCCATAGCCTCCAGCCGATGAAGTAGAGAATGGTGCCGACTATTTTGGCGATCATTGCCATGGTAACGGCTCCCGTCATCAGTTCGGAGTTGTTGTATTCTTGACAAGCGCCCTTCTCACCGCACTCGTTTTCCTGGAAAGTATCGGAATTAGAAAAATTGCTGGTACTTGGTTGCAGTAGTACATGAAAAAGTGTGTTACTGGATCCACCATTATCTTGGACTCAAAGTTTTTCAGAACATTGTAGAGTTGTATTTACCTCCTTAATACCTATACCATACTGGTATGATTAGCTCAAAATGTTCCTTAGACATAATAAATATAAGAAAACTGTAATAAACACAAAATCCCATAAAAAGGGCGAGGAAGTGGATGAAATGGGTACTTACGTTCCAAAGGATGCAAGCTTTGTCTATAAATGCTCCGAGTATGATCGGTCCTGGAAATGCGCCAAACACCCTAAAAGCTACACTCTGTAAAGATATCGCCATTACTCGCTCGCTGTCCTTCACACACCTGAAAATAACCAACATTACTAAACAAGATTTCTAAAAGTCCTTCACAAGTGAAATCATATTTAAAGCCAACGTTTCAGTATAATTCTACTGCTAGTTAGGGTGATAATTTTCTCAGAAATCCGAAAAGATTCGATTCAAGATTCGATAATAATCACACTTACCGTAAGTTAACAGTGAGGAATATGACATTATTGAGGAAGGTGAAGAACATTATTAAGAAAAGGCAGATAATGTAAGGTATCAGCCATTTGCATTGTGTATCGCAAGATCCGGCTGTGGCGATTGTTTCAGCGCCGCAACAGTCATAGAAATCCTGAAATAAGAAATTTATTAGTAAACCAACAGGTTTACCGTCATGATATTTATTGGATGCAGCTATAATACTCGCTCGGCTCGCCACCTTCATTGTTCGTTGTAAAGTGGAAATGGACACTGAACCGCTAATCGCACACTCAATATCCTGACATTAATCATATTATACCTTAATTCAAATCACTCATATTGAACAAACACTTTCACCCAGTGTTAATATCTTATCATGCAGCTGCTTATCAACACGAATTAGCTAATTTTATCTTTGTATGCTGCGATGACACACAATTAAATTTGAAGGTAACGTCAGTGAAATAGCACGCGTGGGTCGCCAGAATATGCCGCTGCGCGCGTCCGATAATTGCTCTCAGGACGCACTAGCCCACACATGCAAGGCAATGCGCGTCACAACGATGACCCTAAATATACTCAAATTGTCCCGTTTAATGGATTATACCTGTCGTTTAACGATTATCTATAGTAATTACCTAATGCTTTATTGCCAGAACAATTAACAATCAGCAGCTGCTCTCTATTATCACTATTGGCACACATACAGGTATTGACAGCTGAAGTGAGCAGAAATCAAGGTTCTCTGTGGAAGTTATGGCAGTCTAAATTCCTCTACACTCCCAGAAATTAGAGTCCATAGAACCTTTTTTGCCGAAAAAAACAAAAATAAATTTTAAAATTCGATTATCCTTGATTATTCTACATTATGCACGTTTAACCAAGTTTCAAAGTTTGTGGCAGGAATCTGTAATATGTGGCACTTTATTTCCTAATCCCAAAATATCTCGTAAATTAAACGTCAGAGCTGGCAGATCATTTATGGAACTTACTTAATCCTCAGCGTCTTCTAACAAATTCAATTATTACAACATTAACTTCTCGTTATGAATATAATTAGATGCTAGACAGAACGTCAGGACAGCGATGACGCGATGTCCCTGGAGATTTACCAGCCACACATTCCCCAATCCCCACACATTCCCCAATCCCCTCTACTATTGTGACACATGTTTGGAAAGTAAAACTTAGCTGACACGCTACTTTGAATATCGGAAAATAGTAATAAAAAGTTAGCGGATATCGCTATCATATTTGTAATAGAGTAATAGGATCAGTGCACAGACTTGGCAGCCAGCCGGAATATGAGTGACAGTTTATATTGCTTTTAGAAAATAATAGCTACGATGAGCATTGAGGCCATTACAGGAATCTGTAAATTCCTGTAATAAAGTTAACAGAACAAATGTTGTGAAATAATTGACAAACATCCTGGCAGAATGCCACAACATTCCCCAAAGATCACACACAAACATTAATAGACACACATTTGACCGTTACACACTCACGGAAGATGTGGCATTGTAACTGGTACAAGCGGCGGTACAGGGTGTCGTGTATGTGATGCCATCAATACACACTGGCTCGTACACGTCATTTTCGGGACAGGCTACTTTACAAGTTGTCGCTGAAGCTGCACTGCACCTGAAATATGTTAGAGTGAATATACGGTATACATTAATGTTGATTTGTTAGGACTAGAAATGAAGAAATGTAAGAAATACCGAAGAACTCATCCGATCTGTAGTGTATTATTACTTAAATCCAGACATCATGTGAGCAAGGGGTAAATATAAAATTACAAAAGCAGAACTACAATCGAGATAACATGGGGTTTATCTGAAATGTCTGCCGTCTATCACCAGGGTGTGCAACGAACAAATATTTCTTTAAAATTTCTAATTTTTATCATTCCTAGCACCTCATAGAAAATGTCGTGAGATGAAATTCCAGAGGATAAAGAGCCGTATACCGGTAATTTCGGCATCCTCAAAGTCCTCTTTTGTGTAGAAACACGTCGCATAGTGTAGCACTTTATAAAGATACGGGAACGTGTATCATTAAAACTGTGCATGATGATTGATCATGATATATTTGACGTAGGAATTTAACAGGAACTGATTAGGAACTTAGCAAGAACTAATCACTGTGCATGGTACCTAAATCAAAATCATGTCGTTAGGGAAACCTTTCTTAATGGTAAATTATCTTACAATGTATCAATACAGGTATTTAGCTCGATCAAACTATTATTTTCTATGGCATGAGTGAAAAAGGGCGTAATTCTCAAAAGATATTCGACACTTAGAATATTGAAATATATCCACCGCTTTCACTCAACTTTCTATATTTTCGGTCGATAAAAATTTGTCTGTAATTATAAAACTCCAACATCAGTTTAAAAAAATGGAAAGTAGTTTAGTTTTCTGGCCTTCTAGCCTGTCAATTATGTACAAGTTTTAAAAAGATCGAGTGCCCGACGTCCGTCTCTTGTGGGCGGAACTCATACAACATTCTAATTTACATAACGTCTGAAATGGGCAGAATAGGACATGCAGTGATTAAAAACTCCTTTGGTAAATGATAGAATAATAATTTGCTATTCTGCCAGAGTAAAGTAATCTTATCATCGGGGTAAATATTTGTTTCGAATTCTGAGCATAAAAGGGTATATTAAAACAAGTTTCTCACGCCCATTTTTGTAACTGTTCGCCCACAATTACAAGAACATAGTGACTGACCTGGATATTCTAACTTTAAGCCAGCCATTAAGTGATTATGTAGACCACTGTGAAAACTCTTCACAACAAGAATAAGGAAGTTGCAGTCTAATAATGGTTTTATATCACAAGTCACAACGACCCACATGCCACATCAGTTCTTACACTTTTCTAGTTTTCTCAACCTCCAGTTTACAATAAGTTTACACTAAGTACAGAACAGTTGTCTGCTTATCTTTGTCTACCTATGATACCCTGCAGGTGCATTTCCTGGTGCTATTATAGTACTACAAAGGAATTCTTTGTAATTCACATTTATCACGTGACCAATTAATCCAATGGTTATTTAATATTCATTAACGTTAAATGAGAGGTAACACATCCTGTTATCTTGCGACAGAGATGCTGTACTGTAAAACCAGATATTTTTTCAGACACTAATTTTTGCGGATTCAAATGATACGATGTAGACATGACTTAGGAGCAATCAATTTCGCGGCACACATTTTCACGCATTTTCACGCCGCGGAAATTAATGATTTTACAGTATTATAAAATTAATATGAGTAACTAAAAGTTCTCTAGTGTGATAAGTGCGCTTTGTAGCTACTCAATAACAATTTTCAATCATATCACTATCTAGCAACAAAATTAATCTCTGATAATGCGAAAATGATTAACCAAAAGTGCTTTAGCACTACAGTGTTAACTAGATCACGACATGCTGTGCCTACTCAATAACAACATTACAATCTTCAGGCGTTGTTCGTCACCATAACAACGTCATTACACCCACACATGAACAAACGATTGAGCAACCACAATCTAAATATTAATGTAAAATATACGAGTTCAGGGATAGTTCCACGCTTCAGGACGTGGCTGGGACGGTTATCCACCAACTAATCGTTTAAAGGGCAGTTGAGTAGTTTATTATATTAGAGGTTATTACTTATTAATAATTATATCACGTTGTTGTGAGGTGGTTAATTTAGTGTTCTCAATGTTATTAGTCAATATCTGAACTCGATTATTATTGCGTTTGTGTTTGATCAAACTTAACACTCATTTCAGTTTTCTAATCCAGTTGATATAATGAAGAATATAAAGAAATTTCCCATTATATCCTAAATACGCCCTAGATTACAAGGTGATGTTCTGCCTTATCTGCCGAGTGATAATCATTTGTAATAGGGTACAGGAGTCAGGACGGTGTTGAGTATATCAGTGAGTAGGATACACAGTAATGTTGACAGGGTGTCAGGCCAGTTGGTCGGAACTGAACCATTTCGGTTTTGTGAGTAGAAGAACAGCAGTTAAAACAAGTTTAACACCAGTTGGTGAGCTGGTGGTGTTATAACAACACCATGGAATGTAGGTTGTCAGACCCCTTACTACTTTAAACAGGGTACAAGTTCAATAAAACATAGAAAGGTCAAGTTTAACAGAGGACCAGATAGATAGTAGAGCACGAGACAAGTGAAGTGCGGGGGTTTTTCGCTAGATAAATGCTGAAAACAACAAGTTTTAAAGGTATGCTCAGCCTGCGCTACCCAAGTTTAAAGCTCACTGCAGCTCAGCAAATGGTTGCTCAATTTTGGCAGGGCTATGTAGCAAATCTGTGTGTTATCTTAGTTTATCTCCCCTCATTTCATCACAACATCATCACCGCATTGTCAGACCTGTCACCAGGGAATCATTTACTTTTCTATCCTGTCACCAGGGAGTCTTTTACTTTTCTAGCAGGTCAGATTCTTTGTGACGAAGTGTTAAAATGAGCTACTGCCACATTCTAATGTCTACATATTATATCTTCACCTGTGATACACAGCACTACAGCTGCAGCTGTTATATCCTGATTACATGAGGAGCAGTTTCACAGGGCACAAGTATCCTGAACATTCCATTGGACCTGGTTAATAGGGTGTAATTGGGCTGCAGTAATTGGGAACAGACTATTAACACTGCTCAATGGTGACGGAGTTAGTGCTCTGTTTTTAGTAACGAACAGGGTGCCACATAGCGGGAGAAGCTATGTAAGTGCACTACTCTGCAACTCTGGGAGAGTGAGAGGGGGGGGGGGGGCGGGGTTCTTTTTAACCACAGGATAAATTATACAATGGGGGGGGGTTCTTTTTAACCACAGGATAAATTATACAATGGGGGGGGGGGGGGGGGGAGGGGTTCTTTTTAACCACAGGATAAATTATACAATGGGGGGGGGGCGGGGTTCTTTTTAACCACAGGATAAATTATACAATGGGGGGGGGGGGGGGGGCGGGGTTCTTTTTAACCACAGGATAAATTATACAATGGGGGGGGGGGGTTCTTTTTAACCACAGGATTAATGATACAATGGTATATTTTTCAGTAGAGAATCACATCTAATAACCATAATAACCATAATAATAATGATATGTATATTTTGGTGTGAAGTGCCGCGCCCTCTTGGGGATTTGTCTTCATAATATTGTCTGGTTGCAGGTTTTTAAACAGGTACTGATGTTAAACAAAATTGGTAATTATAACCACCAGCACCGATACGGCCAACAACAACAACAACCCTTTCTCTGCAGTAGTGACCATGAATCTTTCTGTCAAAGTGCGCGAAATAATTGTATTCTTTCAATACAAGGAATGACCAAATCATATGGCACCCCAATGTGAATTTAGCATGGCAGAGTTTGACACAGCTAGTATACTGTGTTAACACGGTAAAATATAGCTGCTCCCCCCTCTGTTATAGTGAAAATACATCTCACCTAGCAAGCTAGCAGGAGATACTCGCTGTGTACTAGGTTACATATCCCGGCACCAGCATGGCTGGGGACTGATAGGGTTTCACGATAACTACGAGAAATGAGGCAAGCTAAGTTGATAACCTTGAAATTTAGTGGAAATCTAATAAGTGTACTTGAATACCGAACACTGTGGGGTATATTTTATGTTTTCTTTAATTGAAGTGTCCCTTGCCATGGCGGGGCTTCTTCCTCCAGATTCACTGTACATATTATGTGGGGATCCGGGGTTATGGCTCGGTTTTTTAAATAATATTGTTAGACCTAAACTGTCATCATCCCCATTTTAGATAGATTATATCGTTCCAACCTTTCACGTCCTTCGTCATTCTTAAGTTGTAATATTGTGTACGACGCCTTTAAAAATATCCTGAGATATGCTAAGAATGACAGCTATGTAGCAGTTTAACAGTGAAGTAAACTAATACGCTTGCACAATTTATAATTACTCAGGCTCGCTGGGTACTATCTTTGCTCGAGCCGTTGACCAAAATAGACGTCGTTATTGTTATTCTCAATACGATTACTAAATTACATTCTAAGAAGACGCGGTTATACCGTCTGTTGTTTAATATATAAGTGGTTAATGGTTATTTACGGTTACCCGCATGGAGATCTGTACACCAGTAACTGTCCAAGTAGAGGAAGCCTAAAGCCTAGGAGTATTACGGAAGAAAGCCTAGACTCCGGAAAGATCCCGGAACTGATTGCATAATATTACCCCGGAAATAAAAATGAACAGACATGTTAACAGTATTTGAAGCTACATATTTGGTAGGATGAGAAGTAGAGTAGACACGAACTAGACACATCCACAGGGCAGAGATCATGACGTAATGGGCGGTGGGGGTGTTGTATCAAATAATTTAGCGGTGAGTTTATCAAATACCCGGACCAGCACAGCCCGCACACTTGATATATATAATATCATAAGTGTTGGGGTGTCAATTGTAAAGCCCTATACGCGGTGGTATGACACCTTGTTCAGCTCACACCACCGTGACAGTTCCACCCTTCTACCGAGTCATTAGTACCACTTAGTTCCTGCTCCCGACGCTCCTTCCGTGGTCACAGCCCGACAAATTGTAGTCACATCATGGTAGGACGGGGAAATGCAGGTTATATC